AGCTAGCCTAGGGGAGGGCCTAGAAAGTGACACTTCTCCCAACAGCCTGGGCAGGTGGGCTCATACTTTGACCAGGGGTTGTCTTCCTTACATCTTCTGTTTTTTCTCTTCCCAGCTGTGACTATCAAGGACTCATCCCTGCTTTGGAAGACTTGGAGCACAGCAGGGAGACTGGAGTTCCGGGGCAGGAGACTGGGCTGAGGGTGGGGGCTGAGGGTGGCATGCACTGAGGTCAGGGCCAGGGCTGGCGTCCCTAAGGTTGTACAGGTTCTTATGAATATTTGTATCTTCCAGATGGAATAAAAAGGCCCGAATAATTAATCCGGACAATTAGCCTAAAATCCTCAGATGCTGTATTTCTAGGGACTGCACTGTTGGGGTCTAGAATTCCATAGGCTGGACAGGTTGCAACCTCATGTGCGTCTGGAACCTGGAGGTAATGAGGCCTTAGAAGCAGAAAGACCTCAGAACGCAAGGCTCTTGGGAAGGGTCTAGAACGGGAGGGGGTCCTGAATCTTGGGGAATTCTGAGCCTTGACACTAGTGAGTCTTTGCACCCTAGAATTGCTGGGCCTGGTACAACTTGAGTTTTCGACCCATAGGCAAAACTCCCCTGCCTTCCAGGTCACCTTCTGGGCCCTGGTTGAATACTCCAGTGTCAGGGTGCTCTTGGCAGGAGGAGGAGGAGGGCCGCCCAGGGGGCAGGCTGTGGAGAGAGAGCTGAGAGCCAGGAGGGGTGGGGACAGCTAGAGGCTGGGGCTGGTGCGCCTCAGGGTGGGGGCTGAGCTCCATGGTCACGCAGCCCCTTGGCCTGGCGCTGCTGACAGCCGGAAAGACAGCGACTTCCAGAGGAAATGCATATTGATCCTGCTCAGCTCCGGAGGCCTCTCCTAACCTAAGCTTGCTCTTCCCTCCTGAGTTGGCAGCGCGGAGAACCTGGGGGTGGGTGGGTGTCACCATTAACTGAGTAAGGCCAAGGCCATTTCTAAGGCTGCGCTGGGACAGGAGGATGGTCCATGGGGGTCACCCAGAGGATCTAGAGCCTGCCCAGCCTGCCCCTAGGGTCAGGAGGTACCTGATAGCAATCCTGAGAAAGGGAGTTACCTCTCCAGATTTCCACACTGCAGGATGCCCTAGAGCAGCTGCTGGATTGTTCTGGGAGTAGAGAAGAGCACCCCAACTCCCTACCTGCACATCGTCCTGTTCTGCAGACCCGGCTGTGGTCTCGGGTTCCTTGGAGAAGCACTGTCCCACTGTCCCAGAGACCCCACTTCCTGCCCATCTCTACCTTTTGACTCCACTTCCCCTGGCCTCCTAGTCCTTATTTTGGGCCACCTCGTTCTCCTGACCTGTCACAAGGATCATCAGCTTTAGTCCCGTCCCTCATCGAGTCCCCTACATTGCCTCTCCTTCTGTCCTCAGCCCCCTCCTGCCCTTCCCCCTCTGGAGGCTGTAATATCCGTTTCACGATTTGGGGGCTGAGTTGCTATAACAACAGACGGCGATTGTGTTGTGAAGAGCAGCTCGCTCCTGCTCTGCCAGCCTGCCTCCCGCTGCCTCCATCCCTGCAGCCTGGCCGGCTCCCCAGCCCACCCCCAGCCCCTTCCTGGCCTCTTCCCAGTGTGTGGTGTGGCCTGGTGCTCAACTCTGCCCATCCGGGATGCGACATGTACCTGTCTTTCGGCTGTCATTCAGAGGTGTCAGAACTGGATGTCTGGGCTTCACATGTGTGTGTGTGTGGCCTGCACCTGTGTCTGCAGGTTTTTTCCCTCCCTAGGACCCTACTGGACTGTGTACATGCCTAGAAGGGTGTTTACTTCATGCTTCCCACCAATGTCCACACTGGGCGGGAGCCAGTGTATGTGAGGGGTGTATTCTGAAGTGGTGGGGCCTTGCTGCCACGAGGGGTCTGAATATGGAACCTTCCGACTAGAGGAGAGAGGCAGGGAGGTGAGGCAGGCTCCAGTGACCTTTCCTGCCCTTGATGGGAAAAGCTGAGGGTGGGGACAGAAGACCAGTGTCACCCTTGCTCCGGCCCCACCCAGATTCCTTGGTTTTGAGCATTGTCATTGGGTCACTGCACCTGCTTGTCTGTCCCTCTGCATTTTGGTGTGTGTGTGTGTGTGTGTGTGTGTGTGTGTGTGTGTGTGTGGCCTGCAGGAGGAGGAGCAGTGGAGGATGGGTGGGGCAGTGGGCTGTGGGGTCAGAGAGGCCCTGACTCAGCAGTTCCTGTTCTTCCTTCTCCAGGGGCCTTGGTGGAGGGGGGGGAGCAGCTTGAGGGTCTTTCCAAGGTCAGGGTAGGCCCCAAGTCTGGGACTTGGTTCAGGAATCTCTCTTTCCACTGCCTAGGAAATACCCTCTGCTGCTAGGTCCCCCCCTATCCCCCTTACAGGTTGTCAAAGGAGGTCCTCTGGAGGGCGTCCACATCCACTAACTCAAAAATTGACCACTCTCTGGAAAGTACCTTCCGATGGTTAGGGTGACTCTGTGGGCAGGTCCCTGTGAACACCTTGGGTGTGTGTTTGCCCTTGACTGTGCAGGTACCTGTGTGCACAAGTATGTAGGTTCTTGAGTGAGTGTGGTTTTCCTGTGGTGAATTACCATAGTTGGGCATCTCTGAAGTGTCCCTTTGTGTCTTTTGGAAACGCTAGGCACACACAAGACAGGTGTGCATGGCTGTGAGACCCCATGTGTATTTGCATGCATAAGTGGTTTGATGTATGTTCTTGCATATTGCCTCTGGCTAAGGAAATGCCAACTGCTACCAGCTGTGCAGATCACAGGCCCTGTAACAGAAATCAGGGGCCTGGAGAGAACTGGCAAAATGGTCTGCCACACACCCACGGCCACACCCACGCCTGCACATTGCCTCATTGAGAAGCCCCGTGTCCAACTTAGCTAATGGTATACACACTAGGCGCTGGCTCTACCTTTTCTCGGTGGAATGAGTGAAGGAGGGTGTTCCCTTCTCACACTCTGACACAAACACGGCGATGCAGACATTCTTACCGCAGAAGACCTGCGCCCCAGGACCACATTCTGAAATCCACAGCTAGGGGTGGGAGTCTGAAGGGAGGATGCTATCAGCCTCGCACTCAGTAACCGGGCGTGCGTAGCCTCAGCCCAGCCGCTAATCTTCTATCCCAGCCCAGCCTTCCACGGGGGTGGGAGATGGCTCCAAACCCTGGGATTCCCAGGAGTCTGGGTTGGGAAACCCCAAACCCCTAGGTCTGTTCTGTCTCTAGCTCAGCTTTTTCCTCCCCCACCAGCTTCGTCCTTATCTCAGCAAAGCTCCCTAGCTGTTCAGTTCCCGAGGCTTCCGACTAGAAGACGCTGGGATAGTGATGGGTAGGGTCTCTGCAAGTGACTGGAAAAAGCCACTAACAGTCGGGGGTTCCAGGTAGCCCAGGCCAGCCTCCGGACGCAGCCAGCAGAGGGCGCTGTGGCTCAGGCCCCGCTCAGGTCCTGCTCTCTCGGTGCCCCAAGTCGGGGTTCAGTCTTCTCCTTTGGTTTGTCCCAGCCCTGGGCACTGTTTTCGGGACCAGCCGGCAGGGGCGGGTGGGTGTGGGATCCAAGGACCCAACCATGAGGAGAGAGGGCTAGGGCACCTGGATTCCCAAGACATTGAAGCTGGGGAGAGCACCTGCTGGGTTGGAGACCTGGACGTCTAGGCTAAAGTCCTGAGAGGCGCGGAAGGGCTCGGATGCCCTGGGGCCGGGACGCCTGGGTCCGCGCGGGGGAGGAGGTGGGCCAGTGGAGCCCCGGGACTGGCGGCTTCTGCACCTTCACATTGGCCGCGCAGCTTGTCCGTCAGCTCTGCGTGGTCCAATGCGCGTGCCTGGGGGGCGGGCCCTGGTGCTGATGCTGCCGTCAGTCGGTGTTGCAGGGATGCGGCGGCGGGAGCAGCCGCCCTGACTCTTAGAGCATCCTCCTCGGAGCGGCACCGCGGCGGGGCGGGCGGGGACGCGGCGGGGACCGAGAGGCGTGAGGCGGCCGTTATCGCTGGCCTCGGATCTGTCATCTGCCGGAGACCAGGCGGTCTCGAGGCTCTGGTCCCCACCCTTAGCTCCTGGCGCCCCCAGAACCAGGTATGGGAGGGGGGGCTGCGGCGGAGACGGGTGGGGGGCGGGAGCCAATCGGGGGAGGGGAGCGGGTCGGAGGGGGCGGCGGATGCAGAAAGGACGGATTTGGGGGCGGGGGCGCCGAGTAGAGAGGACTGGCTGGGTGACAGCGAAGAGGCTAAGCCACTGGGGGAGACTGAGGGACTCCCTGTGGAAGGGGCATTGGCCCTGAGCTGGGGCGAATGGAGGGGATGAGGGAGGGTCGTTGGGGGAAGGGATAGGATGTGAAGAAGGGACATCCATAGGGTTGTGAGAAGGGGTCTGGAATTGGGGGAGGTCCCCAGTCTGTGCTGTTCCTGGCAGCTGGAAGCAGTGATGGGTCAGAGAGGCTGCGAGCTGTTGTGGTCTGAAGGGTCTGCAGGGGAGAAACACTGGTTTCCGTGGGAGAGGAGGCCGACTGGAGAGAGGATTGAGAAGTGGAGAGGGAGGTCTGGGGGTAACCACTGAAGAAAAGGCTCTACTGGGGGATGGGAGCCAAGGGGAGAGGAGGTTATCAGGAGGGGGCAGAGGGGAAGACGCCAAGATGCTCTAGGCATAGATGAGTCTGTGATGGGGAAGAGCTGGACAAGATGGGGGGCCTGAGGGAGAGGAGAGAGGCTTGCCGGGGAAGGCCGGGGGTGACAGAGAGGGAAACCAGTAGGAGAGGGCTCTACTTGGGTAAGAATGTACTTGGGGGCAGCGGTAGGGTTCTGGTCACAGAGTGCTGGAGGGGGAGAGAAAGCTGCTGGCCCTGGGCTTACTCCCCCACCCCAAAGAGGTAGGGACTGTTTCTCATGTCCCAGCCTTCTTCCCCAGAGGAAGGAACAGTCTGCCCTGGGTTCTCTGGGATAGAGTATGAGCCCCCGGACCCTGGGTGGGCTCTGGAGGTAAAATTGGCTTTGCAGTCACCCCTCTTCAGCCCTACTAGAGGGCCTTAGTGAACCGGCAGGGCTGGGAGGGGCTGTTTCTTGGTGTTCCACGGCGAAAGGGGATCCTGCCCAGCTCTGTGAGGCTCCAGTAAATCTGAGGGGGTGGGTCTTGGGTCTCCAACCCCCTTGACTACTTCCGGCTTTCACACACCCTCATTTTTGCACATATTGTTGGTGGGTGGGGTAGGCAAGGACCTTCCAGTCATCCCTGCCCCTCCCTCTTGTCCACCTTCCCGGTGTCTGGGCGTTCCTTCTGGGGGAGGGTTTTACATCCTCTATCTTCTGCTAGAAAAAGAGAGAGAAGAGAGCAGGGGAAAAAAAAAAGAGGGGCGATCAGCTAGTCAGTTAACTACATGTAGAGCCTTCTGCTTTGTGGGTGTCTCAGCTACTTGGGTCCCCAGCTCTCCCACCCCAACCTGGGGTGGCTCAGGGGTGGAGGAGACATTAGAGTCGGGGCCACTTCCTTCTACAGCCAGGGAGAAGGGTCGGGTGGGAGGCTCCTTGTCTCTGCTAAGGGAAGTGTGCTCAGACCCATGCCATCCTCAGCCGCACAGGGGTGGGCGGGACTGATCAGTTGGCTGTGGTTGCTGGGGAGTTGCTTCTTGGCCTGGGCTGAATCCACATGACCGCAGCTCCAGAGAGGAAGGGGCCGGGCACTGGAATAGCCATCAGGAACCTCCATGTCTCTCCAGGCTCAGTCTTTACTCAGGTTCAGCTGTTCTGTTCTGTCCACCCTTGCCAGGGGCACAGACATCCTGACACTGATCCACTCTCTTGGTGGCACCCACCCAGACACACACCTACACACACACACACACTTGCGTATACAATACAACTCCCCAGCAGCACATCACCCACACTCCCCACCCAGAGAGACTGCCACCTCCCGCCTGCCTCAGAGATCTCCTCCAGGTGCTCTGCTTCAGTGCATGACACACACAGAGCCCCTAAATGTTCCCAGGTCGCCTGACAAAGCACCGCCAGCCCTTACTGTTAGAGACACACAACTTCTACCACTATTCATCAGCCCAGGCTCACAGACATCTCAGGCCCACTTGCCCTCCTGGTATACGCTTGCCTTCTCTTCTGGGTACACACGCCCACGCCGGCACACCTTCCCAGACACACCAGCCTCTGCCTGCCACATCACATGCACCGCATGCTAGTCTGAGTCTTGAGCATTTTGAACCAGGTCTGTATGTGTGCACGTTAACACACAGGCTGTCTGATTACATCCTTTATGCCTTGACCTGCACCCTATCTATAACTCTCACCAAATTTTTGTCATTCTCTTCTCTTCGTATTTTGAGAAAGCTCTAAAACCCAGGTCTACTCCAACTGATCATGACCACAGTCACTCCAGGCCAGCTTTGCCCTTAGCTACCCCTGGCCTTGTGCAGAGCCTTGAGTTCTGGCCCAGGATTTCTCCTCCACCCAAGGCCTGCCTGACACTGGAGACACAGTGTCCGTCCCTTCGATTCAAACTCCTGCTCAGCCCCCACGGGGACTCCCAGAAGTGTGTCCTCACACACCACCCACCCCTTGTGGTTCCATCTGTTGGTGCAGTTCTGTCCCAGCCTCTTCCGTACTGACAGGACTGTGGACTTGCTGAGATTCATTCAGTAATGCATACCTTCCTGTCATTTTCAAAGCTGTTTTTTTTAAACCACTGCCGCCATTCAGTGTGGGTGGATGAGGGTGAGGCTGCACGGACGGTGCCTTGTCTGCCAGTGAGCCTCAGTTTCCTTATCTGTATAAAGGGTGTTTTCATACTGATATCAGGGGAATGGCTCAGGGTTTGGATGAGAGAATTATGATGGTTGCAATCACAGTAGCAGCAACTGGATTTAGTGTGCACCTACTGTGCGCTTGACTGAACTTTTTCATCTGGTGTATTTGTCAGGCACATGGAAAGCCCCCGTCAGCAATAGGTGTTTAAATATTTTTTTACATTGGTTTATTCATTTTTTTGTCTGTTATGTGCATCATGGTGCATATGCAGGGGTCAGAGAACAGCTTGTGGGACTTGGTTTCCTCCTTCCACCATGTAGATACTGAGGATCAAACTGAATAGTCAGGCTTGGCAGCAACACCTTCCCTGATGAGCCATCTTGCTGGCCCAGCAGCAGGTATTTTTTTTTTTATTATTATATCCTTTCCTACACACACACACACACCTGTCAGACACCTTCAAGAGCATTCCATCCGCTTACTCATGAGCACCCCCCCCCCCGGAACTATCTGTCCCCTCTGCATCTCTGAAGCACACTCTCCCAGGTCTGTGTGCCCAGCTGTACATGGCACAGCAGGGCTTCCTGTGATCACCCCTCCCACCACTCAGCACCAGGCTTCCAGAGACTGTGTTCCAGCCCCCATTCTATCAAGTCACTCCATCACATCTCCGTCCCCAGCCCACCCATCACCACAGCCCCACCCACCTGGCAGGAGCCTCACATGCACACACCTCCAGGTGCCACCCTTGTCCTCCCGCCCTAGCTGTTTTTCTCCGGACACACAGACACACGAACACACACACACACACACACACACACACACACACACACACGAGCACACACCACACACACACACACACACACACACCAAGTGCTGGCATCCCACGCTCACCTGTCCTGAGGCCTCTTCATCCTTTCTCCCACTTCCCTAGGGAAGACAAGCTACTTAGAAGAATAGAGAAGGACCTAGAGGTGAGATAGAATCAAACTGGAGACCATCCCAGCTCTGTCACTTGGGAGGGGCGTCACCCTGTGTGGCCCCATCTCTTGTAAAAGGGAACCTCACTAAGATCTACTCTGCTTATCGCCTTGTCAGGGGAGTTCTTGAAGGCCCTGGCAAGGATTAAAGCAAATACCAGAGACACGGAGTGCTGCAGAGCCGGAAAAGGCTGAGAGGTTCTAGAAGTAATCATTAACCCAACACACTTCCACACTGCAGACATCTCAGCAAGGCTGCACTTTTACACATACTCTGACGCTGACAGTATTTCCAACTTGTGGAACTGGCATCCGTTTTGCTCAGACTGCTCTGGGAATTATGGAGCCCAGACAGGGGAATCCAGTTGGTCAGGATCGGTGGGTCCAGTGGGAGTATTTAGAATAAGAGGCTAGTGAACTCTAACCTTGTATTCTGAAGGAAATGGGAGCCCAAAGAGGCTAAGAAACTTACCGAAGGCCACATGAGTTTAATGGCTGTTGACGGAGGTATAGCTGGCATTGGAAACCAGGCTCCTGAGTGCTAACCATGCATGCTTCGGCCTGCGTGAGGCTTGGATGTATGCCTGTCTGGATCCTCCCCGGTCTTCACTAGGTCATCAGGGCTGGAAAGGCGAGCAGGGAGGCAGGAACTGTTTGTAGCCTGTCCAGCCTGTCAGTTCTGCCTGGGGCTTTAGTGGGGGAGATATTGTCCTTAGAAACCATTATGAACCCAAGGGTACCTTGGGCCACACAGTCTGATGTCCTCTTGTTATGACTCAAGAGCCACCCCCTTCCCACGCCCAGTGTCTCTGAATAGCAGTCATCCCCTCTCAGCTTGTACACCTCCACAGACGAGGAACTCATTCCTGCCCCCTCTGAGGCAGCCTACTCCACTGGAACATGGCTTGGACCGCGGGCAAATTTCTTTAGAGCTTGATCCAAATTCTCCCCCCTCAAAACATGCACTTCTCCCACCTGTCCGCGGGCTGCCTTCTGGGGCCACCAGAATGTGTGTAAACCCAGATCTTCCTCCCTGGCGCCTGGGGGAGGCCCCTGCTGTCTCGCTTCCAGCTGGCACGAGGAGAGGAGAACCAGAGAGAGGCTGTGTTCTCAAGGCTGGAGGTGTGTGTGAGCACATGTGCGCGCGTGTGCATGCACAAGTGCGCGTGAGTGTGTGTGCGCGCGTGTGCATGTGTAGGCATGTATGTGGGGGCTGGTCAGACAGCCAGCTGAGTGGATGCTGGGAGAAGGCTGATGCCAGGATGGCTTGGAACTGGCATCCGTTTTGCTCAGACTGCTCTGGGAATCACGGAGCCCAGGCAGGAGAGTCCAGCTGGTCAGGATCGGTGGGTCCAGTGGGAGTATTTAGACTAAGAGGCTAGTGGACTCTGCTCTAGTCCTGTCTTCTGTGTCAAGGCCAGACAGTGCTCCTCTCTTAACTGCTGGAAAAAGCCATCTTTCCAGCCCAGTCTCTGCTCCTCTCTACAACTCAGTTTCACTTTAGGGAAATGATGGAAAGAACCCCACACATGGTTTAGTCTTGAGGTGGGTTTGGAGTCTGTCCACTGTGAAGGCCAGATACCGCCTGGTGGCCTGTGGGCAATGCAAGACTGAGGGATGCCATTAAGTTTGGGACCAGTAGACTCTTTTCCTCTGTGCCAGAGATTCCAGCTGCCCATTTGTTGTCTTGTTTGTGAGCATGGGTGACGACACTGCTTCTTAGGGCCAGGGAGAGGGATCAGGTGGTGCCTCAAGGGTCCAACCTGGTATCTTACAGTGTGGGGAGCCCAGACATTGCAGGTCACTTACCACGGTGGCACAGGCCTGGCTGTGAGAAGATGGGGAGGCTATGTGGGTGGCTCAAGAGAACCAGAGAGTGATGCCATTAGGAGAGGGTAGACAGAGGCCCCAAGGACACCCAAATCAGCCCACCCCAGTTCTTTCTGCACTACACCACTTGCCTGCGTCCATCTGTGGGTCGGGGGTGCTAGGGTGATGACAGGATGCTGCATCTTGTGATGCCATGGGAAAGGTCAACTCCCCAGAGGAGCAGTGGCCTACGGCCAGAGGAAACTGGCAGGGTGTACTGCGCTGACATCCGTAAGTAGGCAGGAGCCCCTGGGTCTACTTTGGCCAGTGTCCCCCCATTGGAGAAAAAGCATGGGTTGTGGGGGGGACAGTGCTTGGGTCGTGTGGGTACAAAGCCCAGGAGAGGGCCCTTGCCTTACACATCTCCCTTAATACCTTTACCTTGATGGAGTTGTACAAGGCAATGGAGTCCATCTCTGAAGCCTAGGTTGCTGCTGAGGCCTGAGGAAAACAGCCAGGAACCCCTGTACACGAGGAGCAGAGATGTTTGGAGGGGAGCCAGCAGAAGCCAGGCCCTTTGGAAAGAAAGGCTGTAGGGAGCAGCCAAGAGCAGCAGGTGTCCCAGGCACTGTGGGACAGGGTGGAGTGGAAAGGACCCAGGTGTCTGCTTAGCTCTCTTAGGACTGTTTCTGCCTCCTTGCAAGCCCGAAGCTGCCCCAAGGGTCCCCGGGTCCCCAGAGAGGGGACTCCAAGAGGGCTGGGCTTCCCTTTGGTTGACCCTGGTGCAGAGTCAGGAGGTCTCTCCTGCAGAGCTGTGAGGAGAATGAACAATGAGCACGGAGGGTCTGAAGGCCAGCCTCTGCCCTCACCCTCCCTAGAGGCAATGCGCAAGCCCAGTCTCTGCCCACAGCAGCTGCCTACAGATGGGCACTCTCCCTTGGCTGTTCTCCCTCTACACGCAGGTTAACTGGAGTCACCCCTTGGTGAATTCTCAACCATTCTGCACCCCACCCCCAACCAGACAACCTGCCTCTGGCTCTCAGGACCCAGGCCCTGCCTGGGAGCCTCTGGAATCTTCCTCTACTCCATCCACCCATCCTCCTTCAACTTCTTCACTGGGTAGACAGAACAAGACACCTTCCGCAGGCTTCCTCCTTGGCTACCTCTCTAGAGGGCGGGGGCTCAGGGGACTGGGGTGGGGGTGGGGCAGAGGAAAGGCACCCCTCCCCCCAGGCTGGGGGTGTGTGAGTGGACAGCAACACACAATCTCATTCCCTCCACCAGTGGAAATCAATAGCTAATTAATTCTCTCCCCAAAATAGTGTCCGGAGGTGGGGGTGGGGGCTAGGAAAGAGGCAGACAGAAGCAAGGCGGGGCCAGACTGAGACCCTGGAGGAGGAGGAGGGGTGAGGGGAGGAGGAGGGATGGTCAGCCTTTTGGACACCAGGGCTGGGCCTCTGCCGGGGGTCTCTGTTTGCCCTCTTTGGAGAAGGGAAGCTTTGGCTTTTCCGATTCTCTAGCTTCAGGGTCCCTTGCCCCTGCCCTGGGCTAGGGGTGTATGTGTGTGTGTGTGTGGGGGGGGGTGAGGGCGTCAATCAGGCTGGGAGCAGGTGCTGCATTTAATTTGATTGGCTAATTAGCCCGTGCATGCTAATTATCTCCATTACCCAATGAGGAGAAGCGGTAGCACTCTATATATAACTAGCAGTGTTTGCAGGAAATGGGGGCTGCCGGCCTGGCTATCTTCTCCCTGACTCGGAAGGGGCAGCCTTGGGGGGTGCCGGGGTGGGGTACTTTGTCCCCACCCCACCATGGTAGCCTGTAGGACTCCGACGGGCAGCAGGCAGAAGCAGGGTGAAAGAGCTGAGAAGGGGGGCTAGCTCTGCAGCTGTATTTCGGATGTCCCCCTCGCCACCGCGGGTTCCAGAGCCCTCTGCTGTCTGTCTTCTGAACGTGGGTCTTCCCAGCCCCTCCCCTCCCCCCGACACTCTGAACATCCCCTTACTGTGCAGCCCTAGCCCTTCCTGTATCTCTCAGCTTCCTCCCTGGTAGCTCTCTAGTTCCCACCCGACCCTAGCTCCCCAAGTCACTCTAGGAGCTCGCCTGGGGCTGCCCTGCTCTTTGCCTCTATCTTGGGCACACTGGAGTTGGGCAGACTTGGATTTGAGGTCTAGTATGCTCTGGGCTGTCTGTGTGACCTTGGCCAAGTCCCTAGACTGCCCCATATGGGTTTCCCCAAGGGTGAATAGGAATAATGGAACTCTTTGACTGACTAAGTAAAACAACGTTTGTAAAAATGCCCTGGATCCTGGGCCATGGCAAACGTCATTTGAACTTGGAATTTGATTTTCTCAACCTTCTGGTTCTCTTCTTCCCACCAGCCTTCTCTCTCCACCACTTTCCATGGGCTCCTCCACTTTCTCTTTCTCCTCTCCACCTGTCCCCAGCTCCTCTGAAACTCTGGCCCCTCCCTGCTTCTTTCCCAGGCTTCACATCACCTCCTTCTCTCCCTCCTTCCCACCCTCCCTCCCCAAAATAAAATCAATGCAATATTCAGGAGGGTTGTTGGATATAAATAATTACGACTTGGAGTTTAACGAGATGCAAATTCCCCTCCCTGTCGTGGGGTATAAATTGCTCTCTGACAGCCCGTTACAAGGGTAATCATTTCAGAAAGGCAATTTTATGCAAATGAACCTGCCTGCCTCCCGGTAGCTCCCCCCCCCAGCCCAGGGCTGGGGGCCTGGATAAGCTGAGTGTTGAAGAGAAACCCATGTACTGGGACGAATCCTGAGGCTGAGGAACTAGACCTGGAGGGAGGTTGAGGGTGACTCACCCTTATTCAGAAAGACCTGGGCAGGTGGAAACTGAACATTTGACAGTGGACCACCAAATAAGATTGGGAGTCTAGAAAGGGCTTAGTGTGACGTAGGGGGGAAATGGAGGCACAGAAGTAATGTCTGTGTTCATGGATGGGTGGGTAAGGGCTTGGGGTGAGGATACCTGGGTCCTGGCTGGCTTCTCGCCCTTGCCCCTTCCCAGTCTGGTAACCCTGTGGTACCATTGACGAATTGGCATTTAATTAATCCCAATGAATTATTTAGCAACTTCATTATCCAACATCAAGAGCTGATGAGAGAGACTTATCCCTGGCTGAAAGTGGGAGCCAGGCCCAGAGGTTAGGCGGCTCTGAGAAGTGGCTGGGGTTAACTGCTGGAGGACGGTGCCTTAGCCTCCTCACCCCCTCCAGGAACTGGCCTTGGTTCTGACCTTTGGACTTCAGAGAGGGCTAGGGTGAGGGCTGCTCCACTGGATTTCATATAGACTCTAAGGAGTCACTTCTTCGCCGCTTGGCACCTCAAACCAATCAACGCCCACGGCGAGCACTCATCTCAACCGTTAGCCCCCCAGCACTTTCAAGTATAATGGTATCTCTTGCTTTGGAGACCCATTGCAGTTCAAGACCAGCTGAAGACCTCAAGGGAGCTGGCCATGCTGGATCAGACCTGTAATCCCAGCACTTGAGAGAGGAGGTGGAGGCGGGAGGAGATCAGGAGTCCCAGGTCATCTTCTGCTACAAAAGGAGTGGGGCGGGGGGCGGGCAGCCAGGGCTAGATGAGACTGTTTCCAAAAAACAAACAGAAAAGTGCTAAAAGGAAACAGGGAGTCACCTGCTAGTTTGAGGTAGGGAGCCAGATACCAACGACACCCCTTGACTCTGAACCCTCGATTAAACCTTTCCTCTCTGTTTCTTCGCAGGCGTCCCTCCCCCACCTTCCATCCGAGCCCGCCGCGGGGGAGGGGCTCCGCCGCCGCCGCCGCCGTTGCCTTCCGGGGACGTGGGCACGTGAGCCCGGGCGGCTGGGTCCATGGCACTGTGAGTCGGCGAGGGAGCCCCGCTCCGCGCGAGGG